ATTATTAAGATATATATATATATATATATATAAAGATTAAAACACGTCCATTTTATTGAGACAAAAGCGTATTAAGTCAATTTAAATAATATAAATATTTTCCTTTTACACTCATGAGCAACCTCTCTTCTCCAAAACTCGAAAGGAAAATAAGGTGAAAAAAGAAAAGCAAAGGGGCCATACAATTATAACCCCTTTACAAATCACATTGGAAAATTGAAATGAATAGAAGTGAACATGCTCTAATACCTTGTCAGGCAGCCACGCGTGACATGACCTCACTTTCTGATTATTTTAGAACAAATATTATTTGGGGATGAATGTTGCTTTGAATAAATTGCATGCAAGAGGAATTGAAGTCCGTGTACATCTATTTCTCAGTTTGTCAACAAAGTGCATATTGCTTTTGGCACCAAAATCACGTTTAGGGAACAAAATCGATTCTGTTTTTGGCTTTGGTAACTTATTACTATCTTCAAAATGTACTGCTTGATGAGTAGACTCATGATTAGACAGGAAAAAATAAAACATGCGTTTATCATACACTACAATACGTAGCTTCCACGTTAATGGGACCTGTGAAGAGTGAAGATTGGTTCCAATTTTCGAACTCACATCATGCTTTTGAAATAAATCACAAAATATTAATTTTTTTTAAAGAAAAGATTGATTATAAGTTAAAGACCCACAACATATCTATATTTTTATTTCAAAAGAGTAATGATCAGTGTGTATATTTACACCGCAAACAACATTTGGAAATTAAACAACTTTTGATGACCATATATATATATATATATATAGGCCTGTGCAAAAATTTCCGGCCGATCCGAAACCGGCCAAATCGATGATCAGATTGGGTGAGGCGGATTCATTCTTAGGTATATCGGATTTTTTTTGAAGCAAATTTCGGGTTCAAACGGTTTTGAACGGTCGGATTCGGTGTTGGAATTTTCTTATCCGATGTACCCGAATCCGACCGTTTATCTTCTTCTTCTTCACCTTCGTCTTCACCGTTTATTTTCTCCATTTTTACTTCGTCTTCTTTCTTCTTCTTCTTCGTTCCGTCTTCTTTCTTCTTCTTTTTCACTCCATCTTCTTTCTTCTGCTTCTTTCTTCTTCTTCTTCACACTGTCTTCTTTATTCTTCTTCTTCACTTCGTCTTCTTTCTTCTGCTTCTTTCTTCTTCTTCCATGGCTACCGCTGCTGAGAAACTTCCTGTTCTGGTTGATGAAGGTGGTGATGCGGAGATCTGAAACTCCGTGATTTCCCCCAAATGAAGCAGCGACAGAGACCGGCAAAGAATGGCGACGGATGGCGACGAGGAAGCTTCTCAAACCGATAAATCCATCCGATGAACCCGTAACCCGCACGGATTGAACCCGCCAAAATCTGAGTTCTTCGTCGGTCGGAAATGGCCCCTGATTTTTCTTAATCGGTTTCGGATGATTTTAGGAATTTTGGTCCGAAACCGACCGTGGCCGACCGATGCTCAGGCCTATATATATATATGCATCTTAACCCATGTTTAATTTGTTTTCAGAATTTAATTATTACAAACTGATAATGTAGATTTTTTTATATAGTTATTCAATAATAAATTATGATATATAATAAAATTGATGGTTTTTATAATAATTATTTTAAAAATTATATTGAGAATAATGACTAATTATTTTACAATATAAAAATGTTTATTTTTGACTTATAAATTAAACTCTTGTTTTTATTATTTTCTTGTCAACTAAAATGGTGACTATAAACATTATTAATCATCCCATTAAAATTACTTTTTCTCCATTGTATAAAACATTATTTTTAAAAATAAATTATTTGGAAGTAATTTTTTAATCAATAAAAAGATTACAATGATGGTAATGATAATTCAACTTAAATCTTTATGTTTCTATATCCCAATTCTTCTATTATGTGCCAACCCCAATAGTTCTATTTGAAAGTACTTTAATTCTTTTAAATTAGTTTCACTATAATTTAAAATAAATGGACTTTAGAGTTCATTTGGTAGAAAGAAAAAAAATATGTGAAAGAAAAAGTGAATGAATATAAATAAGAAAAATAAAATAAATGAAAATAAGTAATAATAGAGTGAAAAATAAAAGTAGTAGATGTAATAAAAATAAATAATAAAATTATTTTTTATATTAATTATATTATTCTCATAGTACAAATTAATTCCTTTGAGTTATTCTTAATTGTACAATTTCACATTTGCACAAATATTTGGATCCTCTTATTCCAGTGTGTTTAGACTATTACAAAAAAATGTCTACATTTATTATAATTAAAACTAATATTCAGAAGAATTCAAGATCGTCTTTTGATGTAACAATTATATATATATATATATATATATATATATATATATATATATATATATTTTACATCATCTAACATATATATATATATATATGTGTGTGTGTGTGTGTGTGTTTTGATGTATATATAAAAGTGTGTATATGTAATTTATTTTATATTTCTGTAATATTGGGTAGGTTGTGAAGGTCTCTAACCAAAGATTCAGTTAACCTTCGGAGGAAAAAAATATAAGGTTTCTACTTATTTGAACAGAGCTCATAATCTCTTATTTTTCAGAAATCTTAAAGAGAGAGATCTAGAGAGAGAAACTCTAATTATTTTTCCGTTATTCTTCCCTTCTTCTTTCTAGGTTCTTCTAGAGTGCGAGATTTTTAGCAAGGAGTGTCGAATTTGAAGCTTAAGCTAAGAATCAGAGGGTTGAGCCAGTACGGAGCTTGGAAGCTTGGGATCCTCCTTTCTTGTCCTTCTCCTTTTTCTATTTAGCTTGGAATCGTGGTAAAGGGAGCTAGAACTTGACCTCAATGGATGATTGTGTGGATTATCATGTTGCATGCGTGGTATGAATGGTCATTGATGCATAATTGTTTGAATGTTAAACTGATTTGCAAGAAGACTTCGTGTTCTTAATTTCTTGAAGATTTTTTATATGGTATTTGGGATTTTGGGGGGAAAACCTTGATTTTGTACTAAATTCTTGTTATGAGTTGTTTTGTTGTTGGAAATTGATGTATTTTGGTTGTTTAGATGAGTTTTTATGGTTTAGATTTGAGATTGAAACTTGTAGGAAGCTTGAGATGGAATTGAGAGGCTTGAAAACCCCAAAATCGCAAAAAATATAGATGGTCTTTGTCATGAAATGGCTGAGCTATTTTGAAATGGCTGAGTAGAATTAGAAATGAGAAATGCATGGGTGTGTCTCTGGAAGGAAATGACTAAGCATAATTACATATCAAAATTAGATGTGTTTTTGGAAGGAATTCGCTTAGCATTTTGAAACGACTGAACGGTTAGGTAACTTCTGATTTAGGCTTTGTTTTCATCATCAAAGTTGTAGCACTAGATGTTATCTTTCTAGTGGAGTTGAAATCACCTAAAAAGAAGGTATAAACTCC